AGACTTCGTGAAAATATCAGCAAGTTGATCTTGGCTTCGAGTGAATGTGGTTTGAATTACCTTGGACTGGACTTGTTCCCGAACGTAGTGACAGTCAACTTCAATGTGTTTGGTGCGTTCATGGAACACCGGATTAGAGGCAATATGCATAGCTGCTTAATTGTCACAGAAAAGAGACATAGGTGTGTTGATTGAGAACCCTAAGTCCGAGAGAAGGCCCTTGAGCCAAATGAGTTCACATGCAGTGGAAGCCATGGCTCTATACTCAGCTTCGGCACTTGAGCGAGCAATTACATTTTGTTTTTTTGCTCTTCCATGTCACGAGGTTTCCTCCAACCAACGTGCAGTAGCCAGTAGTGGATTTTCTATCAATAGCATTCCCTGCCCAGTCAGCATCGGTGTAGGCAATGATTTGAGTATGACCATTGTTTTTCATGACGATTCCCCGACCAATGGAGCCTTTGAAGTATCTGAGAATTCTTTTAACAACATTTAAATGAGCTTCAGTGGGTGCATGCATGAATTGGCTTACAAGACTGACGGCGTAAGTTATATCCGGTCTGGTGATGGTGAGATATATAAGCATACCCACCAATCGTTGGTAGTAACTGATATCACTGAGAGGTTCTCCTGTCAAGTCCAACTTCAATTTGCTATCAAGAGGAGTACGAGTTGGTTTGCAATCCATCATCTTCACTTCTTGAAGTAAGTCAATCACATATTTCCTTTGACTCAAAAAAAGTCCCTTAGGGGAAGTGGCCAGTTCAATCCCAAGGAAGTATTTTAAAACTCCTAAGTCTTTAATGGCAAATTGTTAATGAAGAGAATGTTTAAGAGTGTGAATCTCATCAATGTTATCACCTGTGATGATGATATCATCAACATAGATTAGTACAACTAATTTGCCAACTGATCCTATTCGAACAAACAGGGAGGAATCAGCATGACTTCTCTTGAACCCAAAATTTTCAAGTACCGAGCTCAGTTTGGCATACCAGGCACGAGGAGATTGTTTCAAGCCATAGATTGACTTATGAAGCTTGCAAGTCATACCTGAATTCTGTGCTTGTGGATGACCCGGGGGTAGTTGCATGTAGACTTCCTCTTCGAGGTCTCCATGTAAAAAAGCATTTTTTACATCCATTTGGTACAATGGCCATTCATGGTTCACTGCAACAGATAACAAAACCCTTATTGTGCTCATCTTAGCCACGGGAGCAAATGTCTCCTTATAGTCTACTCCAAAAGTTTGAGTAAAACCGCGAGCCACCAATCTTGCCTTGTATCGTTCAATTGAGCCATCAGAATTAAACTTGATTTTATAGACCCACCGACTGCCTACCACCTTGTTGCCTTTGGGAAGTTGAACTACACTCCAGGTTTTATTTTCATTCAAGGCTTTGAGTTCTTCTTCCATGGCTAGCCTCCACACAACTTGACGATTGGCTTCTTGAAAGTTCCTTGGTTCACTTTCATAGGACAGTTTACTGAGGAAGGCTGCATGAGAGTGAGAGACTTTGGAGTAATTTACAAACTTGTGAATAGGGTACCTTGCATGGTAAGTTTCATAGACTTGCAGCCTTGATGGTGGATGTCGATCTCGAGTCGGATTCCTGCGGGGTTGAGCTGGGATCACAATAGGTTTAGCTCCACTCTCTTGTATAGATGTTGTGTTATGGTCATGGGGAACTACTTGTGCTTCTGAGGCTTCAGTGTCGTCTCCAATAAGCAGGTTGTCATTAAGGATTGCATGAGAGTCCCGGTTGTGAGGTAGTGAATGGACACAGTCACTTGATTCGACTGGATTTGGCAATGGGAAGAGATCTAGGAAGTGCTCCCCCTGACGATTTTGATCTGATGATTTGTTGAAATATGGTTGGTTTTCATCAAACCGTACATCTCTTGAGACAAACATCTTCCTGGAGCATGGATTGTAGCATTTGTACCCTTTTTGGGTAGAGGAGTATCCCATGAAAACACACTTGACAGCTTTGGGATCAAGCTTGTCTCGGTGATGGGATTGAATATGAACATAACAGGTACATCCAAAGATTCTCAGATGGGAAAGATTAATTTTTTTGTTTTGCATAACCTCAGATGGTGATTTTGTATCCAGAACACGACTAGGCAGTCTGTTGATAAGGTAGGTGGCTGCAAGAACTCTTTGAGACCAAAACCTCTTAGGCACATTCATTTGCAACATTAGCGCCCTGGTTTTTTCAAGTAGGTCCCTATTCTTCCTTTCGGCAATTCCATTTTGCTGAGGAGTACCTACACAACTTGTTTGATGTATAATTCCATGGGTACTCAAATAGTTAGTCATATTTTTGGATGTATATTCAGTGCCATTATCAGACCTTAGTATGTGGATTTGGGACGAAAAATGGTTCATGACAAGATTATGAAAGTCCTTGAAAGCATCCATAACTTCACTTTTGAATTTTAGGAGGTACAACCAAGTGGCTCTTGAGAAATCATCAACAAAGATAACGTAGTACCTATAACCATCAAAAGACTCTAGAGGGGCAGGTCCCCAAACATCGGAGTGCACCATCTCAAAAAACTTGCTAGTCCTAAACATGGAAGAATTGAATGGGAGTCTAGTAGATTTTGACAAATGACAAATTTCACATACAAGGGAGGATTTGCACAAACTAGGGAACAATGTAGACAACACATATTCTGAGGGATGGGCTAGGCGTTGATGCCACAACCGATGTTCTAGGTTTGAGCTGACTTGGAACCCCTTTGGAACATTGAGGTCCTCTGAGAAATAGTACAGCCCATTTAGGTAGTGACCTTCACCAATCAGCTTCTTGGTGGCTAGATCCTGAAAAACAACATTGTGGGGGGGGGGGGGGGGGGAATTGCACGACAGTTTAGAGAGTTTGTAATCCTTCCTACGGACAATAATTGAAAAGGAAAGGATGGAACATATAACGCTGTGGACTCAACAGTTTCTGAGATCAGTTTAACTTTCCCTCTACCTAGAACTGGCACACCTCTATCATTTGCTACAGAAGCTAGTGATGGTTTAGTGTAGCTTTCAAAATTGTATAGCTTTGAATATTGATTTGTCATGTGATATGTGGCACCTGAGTCTATAATCCAAAAATCATGAGAGTGACTAACATTTAGAGCAGTTGAAAGAGCACACATGATACCTGGAATGTCTCCTTGAGGTACATGACCAGATTCAGCTAAGAACCCTGCAAACTGTCCAAGAAGAGCAGTTTGACTTTCCTTAGTCGACGTTTCACCTGTGCTTCCTTTTCTGGTTTGAAGGTAGGTTGAGAACTCATTCAACAAGTCAGCCGGATTGGCTGTAAAGTTCATCGACCCACCAATGGATGTAGCAGCAGCAGCATGGTACTTGTTTGTATGTGGTCTAGCGTGTGAGCCCTTATGATCTCTTAAAGGCTTGTTCTCAAACCTTGGCTTCAACTTAGGGTGCAATATCCAGCATCGATCTATTAGATGTCCAACATTATTACAATGTAGACACTTCAGATCTAGCCTTTTTCCCTTGTATACTTTATCTCCAAATGACTTGTGATTTGTCACAAAAGCTCTAGCCTCAGACACACTAGGTTTTACGTCAACATTCATGACTTTTCTGCGTACTTCTTCTCGCTGGATAGTAGTGCAAACACTTGCAAATGATGGAAGTTCGGGATTTATTAGAATATGGCTTCTAAGATCTTCATATTCAGAACCCAAACTTGCAAGCAAATGAAAGATTTTGTCTTCCTCGGACCTTTTTAACAGTACGGCAGCATCGATAGTGTGTGGTCGATACATATCTAGTTCGTTCCACATGTTTTTCATGCAACCGAGATGATGAACAAAGGATTTATCACCTTGTTGAAGACTTGCGAGATTCCTCTTAAGCTGGAACACTCGAGCAGCATTGTTTTGATTTCCATACATGTCCTTGACTGCCTTCCAAAGAGCACCAGAGGATTCTGAAAAACTGAAAATTTCAGACAGCTTAGGATCCATGGAGTTGAGGAGCCACGACATGACCAGCTGGTCTTTGCACAGCCATGCTTCATACTCCGGCGATCCGACGTCAGGTGCTTCAATACTTCCATTGACGAATCCAAGTTTGGATCTTCCTCCAAGGGCAAGAGATATTGATCTGGACCATGGAAGATAGTTAAACTCATTTAACAACACAGAACACAAACGTTGGTTTGGGTTGACTTCAGCTTCTGGAAAACTAGGGCGAGGAGCTGTGAAGCTTTCAGCTTCTGAGCCAAAAAGATTATCTTCTGCCATTATCGAAACGAATGTGCAGAAGAAGAGAAGGGACAACAATGGAGTCAGGCCGGTTAAGGTTCCAGCTCTGATACCATGTGGAAAATATGGAAGAGAATGTGTTTTCTCATTATATTTCTCTACAAGATTACAAGGATATATATACATGAAACACTTAAGGGATACAAGTGTGTATCTTGGACAAGGTAGGACGGCTTGGACAAGGTAGGAGACAAGGTAGGACGGCTAGGAGACAAGGTAGGACGGCTTGTTGTGTAGCTTGGACAAGGTAGGACGGCTTGGACAAGGTAGGAGACAAGGTAGGACGGCTAGGAGACAAGGTAGGACGGCTTGTGACAAGCTAGGACGGCTTGGACTTCCAATACATCTTGTAGACATATTCCTGTCCTCCTAGTAGACTATGCTTCAAATACTCCAACATAATCAGCAAGGCCTTCAATTGTAATGGGTTAAGATTACTTGTCCAAAGGAAGGCTCCCCCAAAAGGTTACCGTTTCAAAAGCAATACAATAACCGGAGGAAAAGAAATTCCCCGGAAGTGCTTTTGTGCATGACATCTTCAGGAAGCTAAGGACTAAAGGACCCCCTCATCCAAAGCCAAAGCCAAAGCCTAAGCTCTTGACTTGCACCACAAGTAAAGCAATCTCAAATAGGAGGAATACTCTTTCTTCAACTCTGGCCTTTCTCATTTCTTTTCGTTATATATAACCTGCACATACGATGACAAAAACTACCAAAATCCAATTTGGAGGAGGAATCCAATTCCAACAACACCACCTCCTCCCCAAGCCCCAATGGCCGCCTTTTCCCTCCAAACCTCCTCCTCCTCCTCCTCCGGCATTGCCCGTCTCAGTTTCGAAACCCGCATCCCCGGATCCAATTTGGGTGCAGACCCGAAATCCGTTTATTTTCCTTGTCAGCCTCGTGTGCTTCCTCTTAAGCATCGCTGCAACAGTCAGAGTAAATCAAGAGGAGGAGTGGTGATGGCAGCGGCAGCGAGTGGGAATGACCAGAGCCAAGTGGAAGTTGACGTTTCTCTGAGCCCACGAGTCAACTCCGTCAAGCCTTCCAAGACTGTTGCCATTACTGACCAGGCCACGGCTCTCGTGCAAGCCGGAGTGCCCGTCATTCGATTGGCTGCCGGTGAACCTGATTTCGATACCCCTTCCGTCATAGCTGAGGTACCTTCTTCTTCCACCTTTTCATTCCATATCTTTCTTTGTGTCAATTCCCAGTTGCGAATTATGGGTTGTTTTCAATATATTTACTTATATTTTTGTTTTCAAAGGCCGGTATTAATGCGATTCGTGAAGGATTCACGAGGTACACACCAAATGCAGGAACTTTGGAGCTGCGCCAAGCAATTTGTCATAAGCTCAAAGGTTCGGCTTTTTCGGTTTTTCTTTCTTGTTCTCGTTCTTGAATGTTGAGATATATGTTATATGTTATATGGTTTGAGAACCGGAGTTGTAAGTAGTGACGATTTATATTTTCTTAGAGGAGAATGGGATAACTTACACACCGGATCAGATCCTAGTTAGCAATGGAGCCAAGCAGAGCATCGTTCAAGCTGTGCTTGCAGTTTGTTCCCCAGGAGACGAGGTTACTTTCTCTATATCTATTACTCATGAAATCAACATTAGGCTAGGTATCTTAATATGAATTCATTATCTCATTTTCCATGATGTCCTTGAATTTCGATTTGGAAGTATGTTAGTGCAGAGAAACCAAGTTGGCCCGATGATTAAGGAATGGTCTTTATCTTCATTTTTCTGTTTTGGTGTATATGCTAGTGGTTATAGTTGCATTCCATTGAATACTTGTGAAGGTGACACACATTTACGGATAACTCACAGGTTATAATTCCAGCTCCATTTTGGGTGAGTTACACTGAAATGGCAGGGCTGGCTGATGCAACTCCTGTGATTCTTCCAACGAGCATCTCCAATGATTTTCTCTTGGATCCAAAACTTCTCGAATCCAAACTCACGGAGAAGTCAAGACTGTTGATTCTTTGTTCTCCATCCAACCCCACAGGGTCTGTTTACCCCAAGAGTTTGCTTCAAGAGATTGCTAAGATTGTAGCAAAGCATCCCAGGCTTTTGGTACCCTCACTCTACCTGAACTGAAAGACCTGTACTTTATTGCCTGCACCTTAACATTTGAAACCTGAGGTTTCCACTACTGTTTCATTCAGGTTATTTCTGATGAAACATATGAACACATAATTTTCGCACCGGCAACTCACACAAGCTTTGCATCCTTGCCAGGCATGTGGGAGAGGACTCTGACAGTCAATGGCTTTTCCAAGGTAACCATATTGTTAACACTGCGTTGATTTTATGCTCCTTTTCTGCAAAGGTGGTGTTTCCATGTTAAATCTAGATTCTAGACTGGTGAAAAATAAAACCCTGAGTGGTAGGTCTGATGCTGAAGGTTGACATTCATAAGGTGGTACTTTTCTAGGCTTTTGCAATGACTGGTTGGCGACTTGGATATATTGCCGGGCCTAAACACTTTGTTACGGCATGTGGAACGCTCCAGAGTCAGGTATTTTGTACCATACATCTTCCAAATATATCTTCACGTCATTTAACATGTGATGATGGCACGTTTCTTACTAGCTGTGGTATTCAAAATTTCTTCTTTCCATGCATTTACAACTGATTTACAACTGATTTTTTGAATTCACTTTCCTTTCCATGCATTTACAACTGATTTATTTATTTTCATATTCAAATATTCTTTAACGGAACTCTGTTAGGTGTTCCATTTTGTACTCTCAGCCATTTGACTAGTTCATTTCTTCTTAAGTTCCTACTGCAAATGAGTTTTTGGTTTCTCTTCCATTTGACTAGTTAATTTGTATATACAGTTTATTACTTGTGGGACAGGGTTCTTGTTTCCAAGTTCCAACCCAAGTTAAGGTGATGGACGAGTAATTGTTATCATTGTTTTAGGAAAGCGGTTATTGAAAGAAATCAGGGATAATATGATTTCACCTACTTTGGAGGTTTATATTTGGACATCCCTAAGTACTTGAATAAGCTTTTAGATGTCAATATATATGTACATATGCATATGTGTTTTTGTTTTTGCAGTTTGCTACACAGCTAATCCCAGTGTAATATGGCATATAGTTCACCTCAGGTGCCAGTAGTATATCACAGAAAGCAGGAGTTGCCGCCTTAGGTCTCGGTTATGCTGGTGGAGAGGCAGTTGCTACTATGGTTAAAGCATTCAGGGAGCGACGGGATTTCATGGTCAAAAGCTTTGGCGAACTTTCAGGCGTCAGGATTTCAGAACCCAGGGTACCAACTTAATGATCTGTTTATTTCCCCAATGTTTTTCTCTGTTTCTTTTTTCCCCCTTGTCTTGGAGTATACAAGTCCTTTGACGGATTAATTTTGTGCATCTGTTAATTTCTCTTTTTATTTTCCTTGCTATCCAAATTTCTTCATTGTCTCGCTTCTCACTTTCAGGGAGCTTTCTATCTCTTCATAAATTTCAGTGCTTACTATGGAATGGAGGCTAAAGGATTTGGTAAAATTGAGAATTCAGAGTCCTTATGCCGTTACCTACTTGACAAGGGCCAGGTATGCATCACTTCTGCTTGTCGACTGCTATTTTGGAAAATCAATATTCTAATAGCTATGCTAGTTTGAAATGTCGATGATGTAATAAAATGCTGACATGGGTTGTTCATTTACAGGTTGCGCTAGTACCAGGAGATGCGTTTGGAGATGATACGTGCATACGAATCTCCTATGCAGCATCCCTTCCCACCCTACAGGCAGCTGTGGAGAGAATTAAGAAAGCACTTGTTGAACTAAAGCCCTCAGTCGGTGTTTAACGAAAACTAAAATGTTTCCGGTATTGCCACTGTTCTACATGTTGTAACTCTGTATTCTACTATCTGTTTCGAAGTTATGCATAAGTTGGTCACGTCGGGGACGTCTAAAATAATTCTTCCGGCGTTGTATTTAATAGTAATGTAAACACAGGCGTGTTTGTTTCGTTGAATGGGATTTCAAGAATTCGAAACTCATTTTTTGACTGGGTTTTTCTTACTGGAAAAACTAATGAAATCCGACATTTTCAGTGGAATATCTGGAAATATTGGAAATAAAATGGCCACAGTTTGAGAACTTTATCAACTTGTATTCTATATGCTTAAGTTATGCGTTTTCCTTCTCCACATGTTGGTCGTATGCAATGGTAAAAAAGGAAAAATAAAGTTTTTATTGTTGTCAACTTGAGGATATGTGTGCAATAGAATATAAAGTAAATAAAATACTATTTTTGAGGTTCGGCAAGTGTGCATATGTCCTCAGGACAGCAGTAGGATTTTCTTTATTATTTGAAATAATGGGAGTAAAATATAACGCTCACTATTTTCTCTCCTCTCTCGCTTGACTCATTGGTATTTTCTCGTGCATCTCTTCTTTCTTTTCTCTCTTTGTTTACTTTCTTCCATATGTTTTTCTCTTCTTTTGTGTTGTTTTCTTCAACGCAAATGCCTCTTTATATAGAGGTTTGCATTCTTCCTTGGTCATATATCTAGTTGACCATGTTTATCAACTTAACAATCTTACCAGAACTTTTTTTTTTTGACAACATTGTAAAGCTACGATCATATTTGGTTGCCTATTACTATGGACATACAAACCTTCATTTACAACATTTGTTTATTCTTTTATCCTAACGTTCACACAACTTGATGATCTATTCCTAGCATTTGGATGAAGGAACCATTCTTCCTTTAATGTCGACGTGGCATCAATTTACTATACAAATCTCATGGCGGAACTATTCCCTTTTTTTTATTTTTTATTTTTATCACAATCTAAAGATCATCACTAAAAAAGTTTAATCAATTTGAACACCGTTTAGACATTAATCAATTTGAAGATCGTTTAGACATCTATATGTGTTAAACAAATTAACTTTCTATCTTGAGGATGTTACTTGTTATTATTAGTTAGTCTCCAAATTGCATGAATTTTTTTTAAAGGTGATCTTTATATGATAAAGACTTCGAATATGACATTTGTAAAATGAAATGATGTCATGCCGTTATGGAATGAGGAGTGGCTCCAAGCATTGTTCACTATTATAAACTATTTTTGTTTACTAGAGGTGGATTATAACTTGAGTGCAAGGAATAGATACAATGCTTTGATCAACTCACCTAATCACGTTTGCGTAAACTAGAACTTTTCTTATTCACATTCACAACATGCATCTTGTAGACATATTCCTGTCCTCCTAGTAGACTATCACTACTACAATATAGGCTATCACCGGCGCAGTAAAAAGCGACAAGAAATCCAATTTTTGTAGGAACTATGGCAAAAATCTGACATAAAACAATGTAATGTCAGATTATAATAGCGATGCTAATGCTACCGTCACGAAAGGGCTTCAATGTCGGTTTGTTCGCTTAATCCGCCACTACACAACGTCGGTTAAAAGCGACACTAATGTTGACGTCGGTTTAAAGTGACGTATACTTCAACATTGCGTCAGTTTAAAGCGACGCATACTTCAACATTACGTCGGTTTAAAGCGACGTGTACTAGTAATTCAACTATAAAATATTCAACCTACTGTCGGTTTTAACCAACATCGTGATAAAATTAAACAAATAAAATATCCCTTAACCGACGTCAGATAACAATTAAATAAATAAAATATGCAAACTAGTATCGGTTTTAACCGACACCACCTTTGTTAAGAGTAATAAAAATATTTGGAAATCTGTCTCTGCATTCGTTTTCAATTAATTGTACCTAAAAAAAATTATATAACCAAAATAATAAATTTCAATTAATTTATTCAAGAATTCAACTGAGGTCTTTGGGTGTAGAATTTCTTGTTAAATGCATTCTATTTCATATAAACAAGTAAGTACAAAGCTATTAGAGAACCGGTTACAAGATGAAGATAAAAAAACTAACAATTACATATAATACTAATCAGAGCTCCATGCTTGCGTATAATACTAGCAGCTGCCATGATGCGTTCTCGTGCTTGCCTTTGTCGAAGACCACAGATTCTTTAGCTCCATGCTGCCATATATAATACTAGTAGCTCCATGCAACCATGCTTGCCATCAGATCAATGCTCAAATACTTTACTACTTCAACATTAGGGCTCTAATCTCTATAGATTAAATTCAGGTTTTATACCTTTCAAAAATTATGGATCTGAAATTTCCAGTGTCCTTGATCTTCAGATCCAAAATGAACATGCATGAATTTTTATATGGATTTTCGAACTGTTGATCTTACTGAACAAGAACATAAAAGAGGAGCTCAGTGGAGATTATAGCTTTAGTGAGTCATGCATTAGACTGCTTAGCATTCACATATTAATAGCTACATGGAAGATTATGAATACATCAAAAGTTCCACTTATTCTTCCTACCTTTTCACCACGAAATCATCCAATTAGAATAGATTTTGTTGTTTTACCTTTAAATGACGGATCTAGAACGGAGACAATTCTCTGGTGGTTTTTCCTTGAGATGCGATTTGGGGCTGTACCAGTGGTGCATCGTCTTTTTTTTTTTTTTTTTTTTTTGTACAGATCTCGGGTCCCTGCAAAAGAAACAACACAAGCATGAGGAGTTGAAGATTTTTTTCTTGTATGGTATATTTCAATCCGTGAACCTGAGTGCATGAATCGGCAAAGGAGGGTGAGAAGTTTACCTGAGTGTGTCGGCACCAAGATCGGTGTTGCTACCCTTCTGGTGATGCAATAAATCCATGGTTGCAAGGTCTTAGGGGTTGATGATGGAAGATTAAGGTTTGGTTTGCAGAAAAGGAGGTTAGGATATGAGAAAATGTGGAGAGAGAAGCTGTAGTTTTAGGGTGTGCTTGGAAGAAGGGAGAGATAAATGAGGGAGGTGAGCCTCTTGAAATAAGGAGACTGATATCCTCTTTTTCGTTTAAAAAATGGAGGGGAAATATCCCGCCCAAAAGAGAAGAAAATGGAGGGATGGGAAATGGAGAAGTCGAGGAAAAAGAGAGAGAATAGGAATGAGAGAGAGAAGGATGAAAGAAGCTTGAGTGTGGGTACAGAGAGACATTATGGAGACGGAAAAGAGGGTGAAGAAGAACCAGTTAAAAAAAAATAATGTGAGAGAAATGAGGCATGTGTGTCAGAGAAAGATAAAGAACCCATGTGAGGAACCGACCAAAGAGAAAGAAAATAAAAAATGATGTGACTCTGATGTGTGTGTAAAAGAGAGAGAGTCACGTGAAGTCTGACATTCTTTATTGGAAATCACAGCGTCGGTTTAAATTAATGTTGGTGTCGGTCTAAACCGACACTAACTTCTGACACACTTTTTAAAATTCACGTAGCGTCGGTTTAATGAAACTCGCGTCGAATTAAAAATGATAGCGTCGCTTAAAACCGACACCAACATTTTAAGATTTTAACAAATAAAATACTTAATAAAAAAACAGAAATATAATTTTATTATAAAATATCGTCACATTCTAATTGAAACATAGTCTAATTAATACTTAAAATACATAAAATTAATTAATATATTTTAACTCTGATTTTGATTATTTTTTATAGCTACACTTATTGATCCTATATGAATATAATAAATGAATTCAATCTTCATTTTAAAATATTTATACTAGTGGATACCACAAAATCTTATGTTATACTCAATGAAAGTATAAATAAACTCTAAGTGTTAGTGAATCTATCGTTTTGATGGGATACACATATTACGAAACTAATTTCAACGATCCAATTGTCAAACTTGTTTGTATATGCTTCGAGATCGCATACACCAAAAATCGCAAAAAACAAACATTCAGAGATCAAGTAACGGTACAAAACTTTTCGACAGTTATAAACGAAAAATCACGATTTAACGGTTATTTTAATTTCGATTTTGATGATTTTTTACAGTTACACTCCTTCATCCTATATGAATACAATGAACTAATTTGATCGTCAATTTAAAATATTTACAGAAGTGGATACCACAAAATCTTATGTTATACTTGATGAAAGTATAAATAAACTCTAAGTGTTAGTGAATCTATCGTTTTGATGGGATACGCATCCTTCGAAACTAATTTCTACGATCCAACCATCAAAATTGTTTATATATGCTTCGAGATCGTATACTCCAAAAATCACAAAAAACAAACATTCAGAGATCAAGTAACGGGACAAAACTTTTCGATGGTTATAAACAAAAAATCACGATTTAACGGTTATTTTAACTCCGATTTTGATTATTTTTTATAACTACACTCCTTGATCCTATATGAATACAATGGATGAATTCGATCTTCAATTTAAAATATTTACACTAGTAGATACCGCAAAATCTTATGTTATACTTAACAAAAGTATAAATAAACTCTAAGTGTTAGTGAATCTATCGTTTTGATGGGATACGCATATTACGAAACTAATTTCAACGATCCAACCGACAAACTTGTTTGTATATGCTTCAAGATCGCATACGCCAAAAATGGCAAAAAATAAACATTCAGATATCAAGTAACGGTACAAAACTTTTCGACGGTTATAAATGAAAAATCACGATTTAACAGTTATTTTAACTCCAATTTTGATGATTTTTTACAGCTACACTCCTTAACCCTATATGAATACAATGAATGAATTCGATCTTCAATTTAAAATATTTACACTAGTGGATACCACAAAATCTTATGTTATATTTAATGAAAGTATAAATAAATTGTAAGTGTTAGTGAATCAATCGTTTTGATGGGATACGAATTCTACGAAACTAATTTCAACGATCCAACCATCAAACTTGTTTATATATGCTTCCAGAGCACATACATCAAAAATGGCAAAAAACAAACATTCAGAGATCAAGTAACGGGATAAAACTTTTCGACGGTTATAAACGAAAAATCACTATTTAACGGTTATTTTAACTCCGATTTAGATGATTTTTTACAGCTACACTCCTTGACCCTATATGAACACAATGAATGAATTCGATCTTCAATTTAAAATATTTACACTAGTGGATACCACAAAATCTTATGTTATACTTAATGAAAGTATAAATAAATTCTAAGTGTTAGTGAATCTATCGTTTTGATAGGATACACATTCTACAAAACTAATTTCAATGATCCAACCATCAAACTTGTTTATATATGCTTCGAGATTGCATACGCCAAAAATCGAAAAAAAAACAAATATTCAGAGATCAAGTAACGGGACAAAACTTTTCGACAGTTATCAACGAAAAACCACAATTTAACAGTGATTTTAACTCCGATTTTGATGATTTTTTATAGCTGCATTCCTTGACCCTATATGAATACAATGAATGAACTCGATCTTCAATTTAAAATATTTACATTAGTGGATACCACAAAATCTTATGTTATACTTAATGAAAGTACGAATAAACACTTAAGTGTTAGTTAATCTATTGTTTTGATGGGAAACACATTCTACTAAACTAGTTTCAACAATCGAACCGTCAAATATGTTTGTATATACTTCGAGATCGTATACGCCAAAAATTGCAAAAAACAAACATTCAGAGATCACGATTTAACGGTTATTTAAAAAAAAACTAAAAAGAAAAATTGGAAGAACGAATAAGAAAAATGCAAGAGATGAAGATGAAAACACGGGGGAGAGTACATAAAAACCATCAATTTGTCGCTTACAACCCACACCAGGTTTCAAAATATTTAAAAAAAACTAAAAACTATGTTGCTCAGAACCGACACAGGCTTTAAAATATTTAAAAACAATACTTTATGTCCCTTAAGCGACACCCATACTTTGTGTCGCTTAAAAGCGACACTGTTTTGTTTAAAGTGACGCCAATATTTAAAAATTATTAAAACATATGTCGGTTATAAGCGACATTAAATGTTTACGTCGGTTTAAAAGCGACGTAGACATTTTATGACGCTTATAAGCGACAATAAATCCGACATCATGTTTAGTTAGTGTCGCAACTGTCTTGTCCGCCACTATATTATATTAAACCGACACCACCTACTGACACTATAAGGCCCTTTTGTAGTAGTGTATGCTTCAAATACTCCAACATAATCAGCAAGGCCTTCAATTGTAATGGGTTAAGATTACTTGTCCAGAGGAAGGCTCCCCCAAAAGGTTACCGTTTCAAAAGCAATACAATAACCGGAGGAAAAAGAAAATCCCCGGAAGTGCTTTTGTGCATGACATCTTCAGGAAGCTAAGGACTAAAGGACCCCCTCATCCAAAGCCAAAGCCAAAGCCTAAGCTCTTGACTTACACCACAAGTAAATCAATCTCAAATAGGAGGAATACTCTTTCTTCAACTCTGGCCTTTCTCATTTCTTTTCGTTATATATAACCTGCACATACGATGACAAAAACTACCAAAATCCGGAAACCCGAAAGACGGAAAAAACTAGCTACACCCTGATCAAAATGGATGCTTCTACGTCATCATCCAAACAAGGCACAACAGAGATTGTGTTCTTTGACATAGAAACAAATGTACCCAATAGAGCCGGACAAAGGTTCTGGGTTTTAGAGTTTGGTGCAATTGTAGTTTGCCCTCAGAAGCTTGTTGAGCTGGAAAGTTATAGCACGCTCATTAGACCGGGGGACTTGTCTGCTGTGGCATTGAGGTCTGGCCGGTCCGAGGGGATCACACAGGAAACTGTTGTAGATGCACCCTTGTTTGAGGAAGTTGCCGATAAGATATTCAGCATGTTAAATGGCAGGGTGTGGGCGGGCCACAACATTCGAAGATTCGATTGTGTTAGGATTAAGGAGGCCTTTGCAGAGATCGGTAGGCCTGCACCTCAGCCAGTTGGGATGATTGATTCTTTAGGTGTGTTAACTGGTAAGTTTGGAAGAAGAGCTGGAAATATGAAGGTAAACGTAAATGTTAATTACAAATTGGGACCGTGAAATTTACTTACTTTTAACTTTAATAACGTTTGGCTGCAAAGCCAATCTTACTTGATCTATGCATATATGTTTAGATGGCAACATTGGCATCATACTTCAATCTTGGGCAGCAAAAGCACAGGTTGGCATGCAATACATTTTAATTTGTCGGGTGCTAAATTTTATTAAGTCAATAATGTTATGTCAGAAATTCATGTTTAATTTTATGTTTATGTAATTGTTCAAACATATATAGGAGCCTTGAAGACGTAAGGATGAACCTGGAGGTCCTCAAGAACTGTGCAACCGTGCTCTTTTTGGTACTACCACAAGAAGATACATATATATATGTATCTTTTTTAATTTCATCTAATTTTCAGTTAATGGAATGAAAATTAGCCCTTAAACTTGATTAGTAGCCTTGTGATTGATGTTTCTGTATGTTTGTATGATTGTGTGGAAATAGGAAGCGAGCCTCCCCGGTGTATTAAATGGAAACTGGCCTGGCTCTTCAACGATCACAACGCGGAGTAGAAGTAGCGGGAAATTGCCATGCAGAGAAGAAACTAGCCGCAAGTCTCCAACAACTACTGCTTCTATTGGTTCTCATAGAGCTGTTCCATATGCCTCAAGGGGGGGCTTGGCAAAGGTTTTAATTACTATAATCTAATATCTTTAACTAAAATTCTTAATAAAAGTGAGATTAATTGAACATTAATTTTGAATTTTGAAAGCAGATGACTGAAAGGGTAAAGAATCTGTTGTGTAGAGCCCAAGGAAATCAGCCTCTTAACAACATCCTCAAGCATTCTCATTCCCTACTACGGTGAGACCGCGAAGGATGTCCATTTCAACAAGTTGCAGATGACCTCTTGGTAAACTGCCTGCCATCAAAATCACAGAAAGGGGAATTAAGAAGCTTTTGTTAAAGATGTTTGCCTTTCAGAACTTAGGGAGGAAAATAAATTAGCAAACAATAACAACAGCTTAACCTTCGATTAATTGATTCAACCTTTTTTTTATTTTTTATTTTTTATTTTTTAAATGAAGACCATAGTCACCCTATTCTGCCCTTTTAAGGCTGTTTTTCTTTTTGCCTCTTTCCGTCTTATTTCTTTGTACATAACTTGATTCGACTTAGTGGGTTTTAGTTTACATTAGTTAAAACAAACACGAATATTGAAGGAAGTTGATGTTGCACCATCAAAGTAATTGGTAATAAAAAAGAGCAACCCAAATTTTCGATATGATGAGATAATTCTTCACATCACATCATCGACTAGCTCACACGAATTATAAATGAGCAATGAGTTTTCATCATGTAACTCGGTTCTAGCACATACTATACATAAAACCAGTTTAATAAGTATCCTGTGAAGAAAACAATGAAGTTTATTTGTGTTTGATCCATTTTGACACAGATAGTTAACTAGTATTTTATATATAGAACCACAAATTGATACAAAGCGGACACAACCTGTTAACTACGTACCATATGTAGGAGCCTCCCAATTATATTATCCCTTGAGTTGGGCACTTCGTACGGTTGGTTTCAATGGTTGACGATATTTCAATGGTGGTTTGAGCCAACCAATCATAGTGGCAGGGACACAAATAATATATGGAAATTAACTTTACCCAGTCTTCACTGTTGGTCCTCTCAACATAACTACCCATCATTACATCCGCAGATTTAGCAAAATACATATGATTCGAAACACAGATCACTACATTACATGTACGAAACATTACTTAGAACAAAGTTTTTATTGCATTAATATGTCACACACATCCCTTACAATTGTATCACAAATCCACAACAATATAACCTAGCGCCAGTGGCAGATCAAGTTGCAACAATAAAGCCAAACATTTATTGTCTAGCTATTTGTGAACGAGGAGAGAGCGAGAAGATTGAAATCATCTTCTCATTATTCATACGTGTCCCATCTACATATCTATGTACATAAGTGGGATGGGAGCTAGCACACATGACAAGCGACAAACATGAGACCTAAATGAGAAAGACCGAGCGTTTATCCAAAAGCTGTAGGTATAGCTACTTGCATTAGCAAGTGATGGCCATTTTTTCACTGGATCTCGCGTCCACTGCTTCTCCGACCGTCAAGAAGACAATTCCTCCAATTGTTTCCCCAAAGTTGGACAGCTTTAATTTGTGAATGACTTGCCACCTAGGGTTTTGCAATGGCTAACTGAGATACAGAGCGACAGGTCACAAGTTTAAAAACGCAAAGGACACTGTAAACACAAATAATATAAACATGTAGGGCGTGTGCGCGCGCTTATACCAGAAGGGAGAAAAATCGATGTCTTACCTCAATTCCTTCGGAGATCAAATTCTCATGCAGCTCCTCTAGAGTAGCTATTCCCGATGTATCAATGTTAATCAAATCTGTCATATAGAAAGGGGGAAAATCAAAGGAGAGGAGGTTATAAATCTCTTGAACTGCATATGTGCACAATTATGTGCATGTTTATATATGTATATATGTGTGTGTGTACACACACATATACATATATGCATATACACTGTATATGTACAGTCAATGGCACATATATGCTAAATGGAATAGCTGTCCTTATACTGAAATTTGTAATGACTAATAATAGTGCATTAAAGAAAATAATGTCATAGGCCTACAAACAAATTTTAAATAATTGTGTTTTCAAAATTGAAATTTGTACTTTCCTAATAGAAATCCATTTGTCCGAATGAGGATCCTTTCCGGATCCTTTTTGTGAGGATCCTAGAGATCATCCAATCACATCCGTTTATCATATATTGTGCAGCCAGTTTTCGTCAGATACTATTTATATTCAATTTTAAATAAAAAAATTTACAATAATTTTTTACCACACGATGTACAACGAACGAACGTAATTGGAGGATCCCCGGGATCCTCACAAAGAGAATCCGGAAAGGATCCTCTTGGCATTCGTCCATAATTCTTATGTCAGCCAAATACTTTGTATTTATGCTCTTTTACCATTGAACACAACTATATATGGGACCGAGCACTTATGTACATGTCTATGAGCAAATAGTAAAAACATTTGTGTCCATACTAAACTAAATGATGTGTCACCAATACGAAATAAACATGTTAATCAACACGTAAATAACAATCTAATCATCAACTTTTTCATGTCATTTAGTTTACAAAATTTAGTTTACAAATTTAGTCTTTTGGGATATGTATAAGGGTTAATCATTTTGGGTTTAGAATTGGAAAGTACTATTTACACACTTAATTTTTTATCTTCCACACACCGTTGTTAATTTTTTGCCATTGATATTTTATAATTCATTCAATCTGACGGCCGAAAATTAAGAGCGAATGAGTGTGTGAATAGCACTACTCTTAGAATTTAGTGAGATTAGAGTATTTTTCTATAAGAATAAATATAATTAAATGGACATAGAGAATGACTATAGTTTTAGTATCTAAGACTCTAAAGAAATTGTCTCTAATTTTTTTCGTTTAGCCACTTACTAGAATGTCAAGAATTACGAGTTGAATGGGCTCTTTGGTATGTCCCTTGGTGTCCTCCCCTTTCTTTGCAGTTATCCACCTTACAATCCTTGCATTTACAATACAATACAAACACGTGTTAATCTTCGTATATATGTTTTTAAGATTTATTAAATCTTATTCACAAAAAAAAAATAAAAAAAAGAAGAAAAAAAAAAAAGAGAGAAGATTCATACTATATATATATATATATTTCTACAATTAAATAAATACCTTTCTCTAACCAAATTGGCATTTGCAAAACAAAACATGGTAGACTTGACACGTATTATTATGACTCCAGGAATTTTAATAGCCATGGGATATTGTGCAATGTTGCAAAACGTTTCAGTTCCAGGAAGTTTTCCAAGAGTTTCTCTGCCCGATCGAATTGAGATGATAATAATCTTTGTGAATGATATGGTCACCTGATCAAAACATACAATTAACTGTTAGAGACATCTTTTGTGCATAAACATCGTTAAAGAGATGCCTACCAAACATATATAGATGCATATATATTTTGTCAGTGGTAAAAAGTATCAGAATCAGATAGTAAAAGTATGCTTAGCATTACTTCTATGAGACTAAATAACTTAAAATGATTCTCATAATGTTTAACATAAAAAATGTTTTAAAATATTAAAAGTTATAAACAATTTTTCGAAGAAATTAAGGTCATCATAAAACCAATTGGCAATATAAAGAGTAGCTTGATAGTTATAAGTACATACAATGTCCTTTCTTTCCTCGATGTAGGATTTATAATCTTAACACTTTAGTGCTATTCCAAGAAACATGTCATTTTTTTGATAAAATTTTCAATGTTCTCCCAAGTAATGAAAATGTTTATAAAAAAATGCTTTTGGAGATTGTTGTATTTGAATAAAAGAGATTATCAATTGAAATATTCTTTTGGTCACCTGGACCTATGAATGTTTCCTATTAGGAATTGAATATATTAAGAATAAGAATAATTAATGTACTTTTAAATGTTTTAATCTCAACTCTTGATATCAAATTTAGCAAAAAGTGACTATATATGTTTCTTGATTAGTAGGTGACAACAGAGCTGGATGCATTAAGGGGCGGAGGGGGGGGGGTGTGTCAGGTGACCCCCAGAACTTCAGTGAATGTCCAAGGATAACTTGAGTGCTGACCCTCCGAACTTCGGTGAATGTTCATGGATAATTTGGGTGGTGCTCCTTTAAAGATTGGAGTTGGCTTCATATATGCCCTCCAACTGTAAGAGTGGCTCTTCTTTTTTTTTTTTTTTTATTTATTTATTTATTTTTATTTATAATAAATATTACTTTGTCAAAACGACATAGTTTTGGACCCTTAGTTTAATAAAAAACATAAACACCAAGAGCCAAAAAAATAAACACATGGATGATGGATAAGTTACTCGAGGGAGATCACGGCGTAGAGCTTAAATAATCACAAACATCCATCATTATCATGTGGAGCTCTTTGTTGCTATTGTTGATAAGCAAGTTGTGGAATTAAATAGTTGCTTGATGAGGTAAATATAGAGTTGCTTCTTTGTTTAGCAAGTTTGAGCCCGATGATTCATTCTCAGCTTTTGATGAAGAAAAGCTAATTTGTTTTGCTCATTTTATCCGAATGAATTTACTACTTGTCAACTCTTGGCACTTGAAGATCAACTTGGGCATTATATTCTTGATATGTGTTCAGGTAGTGAATTTTCTCAATTGAAAGGAATTGGTAGCCTTGCAAAAAAAAAAAAAAAAAAAAAAAAAAAAAAAAAAACCGTGGAGACGGGGAGGATCAGAGTATATAATCATGTGTACTTGCTAATTACATTGCCTTTGGTTCTACTAGTTGCTACTGTTTCAATGGAGAGAGCTTTCTTCTGCTATGAATATTATGAAGATTCCAATGCGTAAACAAATGAGAGATCAATGGTTGAGTGATAGCATGGTGGTTTATATCGAGAGTAATGTTTTTTCTTCGATTGACAATGAAGCTATAATGCAACGTTTACAAAATATGAAATCACGTCAGGGACTATTGTAACTTGTATTGTTATTTGTTATATAAGTTATAAATGATGAAACTATGGTTTAATTTTAAGGTTATTATATGTCTAAAAAAATTTTGTAAACTTTTACATGTGACCCCTGAAATATTTTTCCTTGATCCGCCACTGGGTGACAAAAAAAAAAAAAGATGAAATGCTATTGACATGTGAAACACGGTTCATGGAAGAGGTGCCTAGAAATATTTACCAAAAAAAGAGATGCCTTCAATTCAATTAATTTAATCATATGCTTCCATCTCCTAGGAACATGATAAATTATTCTATGAATGGTAATATGAAATGATATCGTACCAAACTGGCTACGTGTGATAAAAGAATTTATAGTTTGCGTTCCACCTCAAAATTATTTGCTCCTACTCATCTACTTTTTAGTTATTTTTGGGCATTGTTATTTTTTATTTTTTATTTTTACTTATTTTACAAGAGTAATGTTGCACAAAATGATACATTTGACACTATTATTTGGTGTGAGATTCACT